CTACCAAAAAACAAGAAAACTCTCAAGCAAACAATCTAACTTTATACCTATAGAAACTGAAAAAGAAGAGCAAACAAATCCCAAAGTTTCTAGAAGGAAGGAAATAATAAAAGTCAGAGAGGAAATAAATGAAATAGGGACCAGAAAGACAATACACAAGACCAATGAAACTAAGAGCTGGTTCTTTGAAAAGATAGACAAAATTGAGAACCTTTAACTAGGCTCCTGAAGGAAAAGAAAAAGGAGGACTCCAGTAAATAAAATAAGAAACAAAAGTTACAACTGACACCACAGAAATGCAAAGGATTATAAGAGATTACTATGAAAAATTATATTTGTTATATGTTATATATATATTATGTTATATATATATATATGTTAACTCTCAGCAAAAAGGGGATAGCAGGAACATACCTCAACATAATAAAGGTCATATATGACAAACCCACAGCTAACATCATAGTCAGTGGTGAAAAGCTGAAAGCTTTTCCTCTAAGATCAGGATGAAGGCAAGCATGCCTACTCTTACCACTTTTATTCAATAGTGTATTGGAAGACTTAACCACAGCAATAACAAAAGAAAAAGAAATAAAAGGCATCCAAATTGGTAAGAAAGAAGTGAAATGGCCACTATTTGCAGAAGACATGACGCTATATACAGAAAACCCTAGAGACTCCACCAAAAAACTATTATAATGAAATCAGTAAAGTTGCAGGACAAAATCAATATACAGAAATCTGTTGTGTTTCTATCTGTACCAATAATAAACTAAGAGAAATTAAGAAAACAATCTCATTTACAATTGCATCAAAAGAATACACTACTTAAGAATAAATTTAACAAAGGCAGTGAAAGATCTGTACTCTGAAAACTATAACACAGATGAAAGAAATTGAAGACAACACAAATAAATGGAAATATATTCCATGCTAATGAAAGAATTAATGTTGTTAAAATCACCATACTACTTAAAGCAATCTATAGATTCAACACAATCCCCATCAAAATACAAAATACCAATGGCATTTTCCACAGAACTGGAGCAATAATCCTAAAATTTGTATGGAACCCAGAAGAGCCCAAATAGCCAAAGCAATCTTGAGAAAGAACAACAAAGCTGGAGTTATGATGCTTCCTGACATCAAACAATACTACAAAGCTATATGGTAATCAAAAGAGTCTGGTCCTGGCATAGATCAATGGAACAGAATAGAGAACTCAGAAAATTATACAGTCCATTAATGTATGACAAAGGAGGCAAGAATATATGCTGAGGAAAGACAGCCTCTTCAATAAATGATGTTGGGAAAACTGGACAGCTACATGCAAAACAAACCGTATCACTGTTTTATACCATACACAAAAATAAACTCAAAATGGATTAAAGATCTAAACAGATGCCCTGAAGCCATAAAACTCCAAGAAGAAAACATAGGCAATACACTCTTGAACATAAGCAAGGTGAAGGAAACACAGCAACAATAACAAGTGGGATACATCACACTTAAAAGCTTCTGCATAGCAAAGGAACCACCAACAAAATGAACAAAAAAGCAACCTACCGAACTGGAGAATATATCTTCAAATGATATATCTGACAATGGAGTTAATACCCAAAATACATAAAGAACTCATACAACTCAACACCAAAAACACAATCCAATTAAAAATGGGCAGAGGCACAGACTCCCAGAAGGAACTAGTGGTTACCAAAGGGGAGGGATGGGGTGGGCAGGTGGGGAGAAAGAAGGGGATTGTGGGGTATCATGATTGATGCACATAGTATGTGTGGGTTCACTGGGAAGACAGTGTAGCTCAGAGAAGACAAATAGGGACTCTGCGGCATCTTACTACACTGCTGGGCAGTGACTGCAATGGGGTATGGGGGGTGACTCAATAATATGGGTGAATGTAATAACCACATTGTTTTTCTTGTGAAGCCTTCATGAGAGTGTATATCAATGATAATTAATTTAAAAAAAAATGGGCAGAGGACCCAAATAGACATTTTTCCAAAGAAGACATATGGATGCCAACAGACACAAGAAAAGATGCTTGGCATCACTGATCATCAAGGAAATGCAAATCAAAACCACAATGAGATTATCACCTCACTCCAGTCAGAATGGCTGGCATCAAAAAGACAAGAAGTGTTGCTGAAACTATGGAATAAAGGGAAACCTGATGCACTGTTGGTGGGAAAGTAGGTTGGTGCAGCCACTGTGGAAAACAGTACTGAGGTCCCTCAGAAATGAAAAATAGAAATACCATATGAGAAACTAATCCCACTTCTGGGTATTTACCTGAAGAAAATAAAATCACTATTTCAAAAAGATATATGCACCTCTATGTTCATTGCAGCATTATTTACAATAGCCAAGATATGGAAGCAACCTAAGAGTCCAGAGATAGATGAATGGTTAAAGATGTGGTACATATCCACAATGAGATATTACTAAGCCATAAAAAAGAACTAAATCTTGCCATTTGTGACAACATGGATAGACTTAGAGGGTATTATTTCAAGTGAAGTCAGACAGAGAAACACAAATAACATATGATTTCACTTATATGTGGAATCTAAAAATATAAAACAGACAAAACAGAAATAAACTCAAATTACAGAGAACAGTTGGTTGCCATAGGGGAGGAGAGTGGGGGGACAGGTGAAATAAGTGAAGGAGATAAAACAGGTAAAAACTCCCAATTATAAAATAAGCAGTGGGGATAAAAAGTGTAGCATAGGGAATATAGTCAATAATATTGTTACTACTTTGTATGATGACAGATGGTAACTACACTTATTGTGGTAAGCATTTCATAATGTAATTGCTGAATCACTCTATTGTACACCTAAACCAGATAAATGTTGTCTATCAACTATACTTCAAATTAAAAAGTGACTTTTCCATTTTATATTAATATTTGAGAAACCCAAGAACATTTTTATGGATATGTCTGAGAAAATCCTCATGTTCTATCAATGGACCACAGTGGCAGACCTTTTGCCATACCAATAAAGGCTCAATGCCTGATTATATGCTTGGAGATTGCTGAAAAGAGAGAAATAACTACCAAATTATCAGTGATTATTTCTTTAATTTACTGGAACATATTTAAACCATTACTATACCAAAGTGCAGGAAGACTGATCATGACGTGCTTGACTGTTAGCTTAGCACTGGTGTATATTTAATGTGGACCCGGGAATGCATAGGGGTGCATGCAGTGGGGTCACACGGGTGGGTCACAGGGGTGGGCATGTGTCAAATGGCAACACCTTTATGAATATTATGAAGTTGGAAGTAGTTTGTTAAAATAATGTCTCTTAAAAATTACCAACTGATTTCATCATAAAAATCAGAGTACAGTCAGCTCTGCTAAAAAGCACCAAGATGAATAGCTATTATTAAGTAAAAATACATCATCATTGCAATATTCTGAGGCAACATTGATAACCAGGGCACATTCAAAAAAAGCAAAGGTCTTCTTTAACATAAACGTATCAATGAAATGAACTATTTTAAATTTATGTTTTGATTTCAAGGAATGGCTGAAGTCAAAGAGTTTCTAGATTCTATTCTAAGACAAGATAATCAGATAGGAAGATAAGGGGAAATTTCAAGGGCAAGTTATTAATGTCTTCAAACCAGACCTGGAGATCAGAGGCAATGTGGGCCATTTTATTATCAAAATAAGTGGGGTTCCAGAATACTAAATACCAAACTACAAATATCAAACAGATATATATGTCAAGAGCACATGAATTTTCTATTTTCTACATGTTTGTGACTGTGCAGGCTTCAGGCAGATACAGGGATAAATTCCAGACCTTTGGCACTGCCAAAGTAGTGATATCAGCTAACCTGAGCCACATTTTCCAACCCCAGCATTCTGAAAACTCAACAGGTTTTATAGTCCAAAGGAAACCAAGACTCTTTTCAAATGCACCTGAGGATCCTGTGCATAGAGAGTCCCACACCCCTCTTCTTGGTTGCTCAGGAAAGCTAAGGCAGATCCTCTAAGAGTTCCATTCCCACCAGTCACTGAATGCCCACCAAATGCCACACAACTTATCAGGCTCTGAGACTGAGCTCAGGCTACCTGCCACCATAGTCCTAGGTTCCTCCTACTTTTCCATAAATAATCAGCACACACAATGACTATGGCCGCTTATCATTAACTCCACCTCCCACAAGCCAGCTACAGTTCAGAGGGTTAAGTTTGCTGTCTGTTCATAAAGTTAACATACTGTACTTGAACACTGTCAAAGAAAAATAATTTGCCAAATATAAATAGAACAGTGAATAAGGTCACATTCTGTGTAAAAAAATGAGGATTAAAGCTAAATATTCATATATATTTTTGTACCCAGACATCACTGGTCTTAACAAACCACTAAAATGCAGCTATTTTTATCCCAGAGCTGCAGGGACGCTCTCAGGTAACTCCCTGGCTACTAACATGCTGGGAATGACAGAACACAGAAGCAGCTTGAATCTGAAAGCTTCCCCTATTTCCTGAGTTTGAAATTCTGAAACTACAAAAAGCTAAAGAATAAAAAAATATGAGAAAACATACATATTAATAATATATACAGTTAATGTGATGAAACTAAATGTTCGAATAGACCAAAAAATTTTCCAGTGATTCAGAAGGCTAAAATATACAATTTACACAGATATCAAATAATCAGATCAAAATGAGTTAATGTGGAAAGTTCCTTTTCAATTGACCTAAAGAAGAAACAAATCCAGACTGAGGTTCACACTGTTGTATTAGAACAGTTCTAAATGTTCTCAAATTCTATACAAAAAAGCCTAACTTCCACTCCCTGATCTACCACTAAGTAGATTTGAGCCTTCAGGCAAGTCATTTAACCTCTTTCATCCTAGAGAAATTGGACGAGATGGTACCTGTTCTCACTGTGACCTATCAACCTTTCCAACTTTAAAATTATAAGATTCTGTGAAATGAAAATGCAAAGGTACAGTATTACCATATTATTATAATCAGATGGGTCATACGTGCTCTGCTTAAAAACTTGACAGAGTTCCATAAATTGTTCACTCATCTCCTGGATTTGTCCATTTAAAATTGCTCCCTTGGAACCGCCAAATTCAAGCCTTTCCAGTTTTTCAAATTCCAATATGGTGACAAATATATCCTTTGTAAAAACATAATACAATAAAGATTTTCCCACCATTTTGAGCATGAAGAAAACATTGTAACATTCCAATGAAAACATTTTCAAACATTCAAAACTGGTGAGTTAATGGACACTTGCATGGCAGATAACAAATATTAATGATTTAACTGAACAAAGTTACCACCCATTTTAAAAATCATACTCCCATTTTCACATTTACTGAGAATTTTCTAGCAGTACGGGCAAGACCTACTTTGCCATAGCTAAGTGTTTGACTTGCTAATTTTATATCCTTCTAATCATAAATCAGATCTGCAGGTAATATCCAAAACTTGTATTTTCAGCCACCTACACTTTGCAGTGAATCGGCTCCATTACTGAACGGAAGCATAAGAGAGTGCTAAAAAATGATGATGTAAGTTGCCCATTGTAAGACATTTAGCATTCAGACATCAACAGGCATTCAGGCTTGAGATGTAATGAGAATTCTCAAAACGTAAAGCTCTAATTTTGAATGAAATTCAACAAGAGTCTTATATTAATAAAGTTCAAACTTGCTAGAAAGAACTTTACAAAGAAAATAAGGCAGTGTTACTAGTTTAAACTTTTAAAAACCTTAGCCAACTGGCTCCGTACAACTGTGCATGTGTAGTGTGTGACCATGCGTACATGTGTGTACTCATTTGTTTTTAGGTATTTAAAACATACTGAGGTATTTAAAACATACTGAGCACATATTTTCATTTTTTTGTCATTTTTATAAATGGTTCTAAATTTTATAGTACATGTATTTATATACTAAAAGATAGGGTGACATCAAATGGATTTTCAGGTCTGAAATCCCAATGTCAAACATTAAACATATAAAGGAAAAAGGGATTCTTTTAAAGCTTCCTGATTTACAACTGTCCTGCAGGAGCTGGTACATAAAGAGATTCACTTACTTCAGTATACTAAAAGAATCAAAAATGTATTTTTTTAAAAAAGGAGCCAAGCTAAATCTTTGAAAACTGTCCTAATAGCACTGGCCTTGGGAGCTTCTTATGAGAATCACTAAGAAAGGGACCTTCCCACCCAAATAGAATAAACTGTTCCCCAAATCATGTAAAAAGATAACAGGATTTTTGAACCCACCTATAATATGAGTAAATTACAAGTCAATAAATTAATACCTCAATTTTCATAAAGCGGTCCAGAAATTTGTCAAATCTACAAAACACCAGATGAGACTGGAAATCCCATGGCTTCAGTTCCTTACTTCCCATAAAATAGCTTGCCAATCTTTTTCTATACTTGAAGAAAGAATTTTTGAAAGTCTTCAAGATGCTAATGGCCACCTGCACCTTTTCCAGAGAGTCTTCAATTTCTCCCTTCAAAATGTCTTCAGGTGAAAGGTAAGCTATTGCCTAGGATTTAATGAAAGGAAACACTGATCAAAAATATGTTTAACAGTTTATTGAAAACAGCTGTTTCAGTTTTTTTTTCCAATGAATCTTTTTAAAGTGACTGTGTCCAGAATTGGGACAGCAATGCTGTGAGACAGCAAAAATTCTAGCAATGCAAAGCTTGGGTTCAACATGCTCATGTAAGTTAGAATAATCTACAGGAGACCGCAATTCCTGGATGGATTTATACATCCTAGCAATGACTAAATTTTTGCTAAGTTTCATAGATGTAACAACTGTGTCAGAATTTGCATGGATGTTCCTTTTGGCAAATATTCTAAACAATTGTTTTTCTCATGTAAGGAAATACACAACCCAGGAGGGGAAATCTATGAGACCATGGATTCACCTTTCCTGTCAACACAGGGTCTTTTGCAAAGGTAAGAAAAGTCTGATAAAGGTGAGTAGATCATGGGCAATTAGGTTAGTAGATTTTTCATCTGGGGGCTTAAGTGCATTATAGGACATAAAATGTAGCTGAGATAGGCCATATGAACTAGTTTTGAATAAAAGAATTGAAACAGAGAGATTAAAGAAAAAGGGCAGAAGATTTATGTAGCACTAGTCTAACTTCCATAAAACAATCACCCATGTTCCAGACCTTCTTTTGTTTCTTAAAACATGTTTCTTAAAAACATCCAGAATTTCCCTCTTTGGGGACCTCAAGAACCTATAAACCCTAAAGTTTCTTCCTGATGCATCTTAACCTCACACAAATTATGGATTTATATTGTGTGACTCTGATGTTGTGGTTGCTTAGAAAGTTATTAAAAATCTCAATGAAGAACATAATGAAAGCCATTGAGTTCAACATAGCAGATGGACTTTTTTCTAAAGGTAAACATATTATCTCCCTTCTCTCATAATGGATATAGTTTTATATGCAATATAGACTCTGTATCCTAAACTTGAAAGTAAAAAATAATTAACTTAGTGTTTAAATCCCTACTAATTAGAATCCTTTACATTCTAGCTATAGATTCTCAATCTATGCTGTTATTTCCCACTCAGACTGGATGGAAAATTAACCTCTATGCGAAGTCTGCTAACACTGCACACAGAAGAAAAGAACTACCAGTAATTCCTTAGCAAAATGAGTTATAAAATAGTTGCATTTTGGTATGGCCTAGGGATTCCACAGACCTATATCTATATGTATTCTTTATAATACATATGCCCTTTTAGGGAGCTAAAACATCTATGGAGATGACTCAATTGCTTCTTGTTTCAGTAGCCTCCTAATTACCTAAATCTAAAGAACTTCCTTGACCAAGTGGTCCTTGATCAGTGTTCATTCCTGTACTTCTTGGCTGACCTTCACATAGATAAGACAATCATAGCAATTAACTTTCTGTTCACGTAGCCAACTGTTGAATAAGACCTCCAAAGATATAGCAGTAAATATCCTAAATTAGAAAACCCAGTCAGTGCTCTTTCAGTGGGCAGGCAGCAGGGTCTGTAGGGGGAAAAGCATCAGCAGGGGGCAAGAGACCTGGCTATCATCCAGTTAGGAACCAGTAATTGCTTTTGTGACATTAGCTAAGTTGTGTCTGAATATCTCAGTTTCCTCATCTGAAGGAGGAGAAAGATGAATTTGAACCTCCCTTTTAGCTCTTCAGCTCTGATTTTCTGCTTCCTATAGCAAATCTCTGGAGCATACCCAACCCCATCAGTTCTATTTCTCATACTCAATGGTATCAGCACAACCAACAAAAAGTCACTGGATTTCGGATCAACTGGTCCCACTTCAGAGGTCTTATAAACTAAAATACTGTAACCAATTTATTTATCAATAAGTGAATTAATCAACTATCAATTAAGCAATTTATCAATGATACTATGTTAATTTGAGACTATCTCCCAGCTCCTCCTTTTCTCTTTTTATTTGCTTTTATGGATCCTTAACTTTTGCTCTTCTCCAAGCTCAATCTCTCAAACTTCCTCACCTAGGATCTTGTAAATGACAACACCAACAACAGGAATGCCAAGCCAAGGAATAGACAGAGTGTTGGACCTAGAGTAGTAATGATGTACAATGGACAGGGTGCAGTCAGGTTACCAGAGAAAAGAAGCAAAGCATTTAAAAAATCCCCATTGCAAGTTTGTACCTCTTTATCACCTTCATCTATTTCTGCAATATTCCCACTCCCTTACTGTGGTAACCACTAGTTTGTTCTCTTTATTTATGAGTTCATTTCTGTTTTATTTTTAGTTTCCACATGTAAGTGAAATCATATTGTATTTGTCTTTTCCTGACTTATTTCACTTAGCATAATACCATGTAAGCCCATCCTTGTCTTCACAAATGGCAAGATTTTATTTTTTATGGCTCAATAATATTCCATTGTGCATGCCAAAAAGGTACGAACTTCCAATTATAAAAGACATCACAGAATGACAAGTACAGCAGAAAAAACATTTTCAATAATATTAAAATAAACTTTGTATTGTGGCAGATGATAACTGCACTTGTAGTGGTGAGCATTTCACAAGGCATAATTGTTGAGTCACTGTCATACATCTGAAACTAATATAGTATTGTACATCAACTATACTTCAAATGAAAAGTTCCCATTAACAAAGTGCAAGTATGTCATCATTTGAGGTGGCCAGATGATCCTTTTATGTCTGGCCTAAATGACTATGTTAATGGCCACTCTTAGAAAACAAGAAAAGCACATCTGCTTCTAAATTAACAAAGATTTCTGACTGTGACTGGAATGCCTACAAGGAACAGATGTATAATAAAAATTAATGAAGCAGACCAGGAACAGCAGCAAGTAGTGGAGACCATGGTCACCTTGAGAGCACATGACCCATCTAAAGGGACACATGAAGCTCTAGCAACTGACTGTGCCAATGGGAAAGGCAAAGCCATGTAGCAAAATCTCTGACTTTCAGGAGATGCTAGAATGCTGGCTTTTAAATGAGACCTCCTCAATTTAAATATTAATAACAGTTTTTCAATTTTTTACAATACTATGCAAAATAAAAATACTGCACTGATCTAGTGACCAAATGTACTGATAGAATGCCAGTTTATGACCTCTGATGTATAAAACAGCAAGGATTCAAATATTTCATAAACACAGTGAAGTCAATAGATTCATAGAAACAAAGTACATGAAAACTTGACCCAGTATTTCCACTTCAAGGAATTTAACCAAAGAAAACAAAGTATCTGATTTAAAAAGATATATGTACCCCTATGTTTATTGCTGCATTATTTCCAATAGCCAAGATATGGAATCAACCTAAGTGTCCATCAACAGATGAATGGATAAAGAAGATGCGGTACATGTACACAATGGAGTATTATTCAGCAACAAAAAGAAAAGAAATTCTGCCATTTGCAGCAACATGGATGGATCTAAAGGCTATTATGTCCAGTGAAATAAGTTAAGTAGAGAAAGACAAATACCAAATGATTTCACTTATTTGTAGAATATAAAAACAAAACAAAACAGAAGAAAAAAAAACATCAGTAGACTCAGAGACATTGAGAAGGGACTAGAGGTTACCATGGGGGAAGGGTTGAGGTAGGTGGGTGGGAAGGGTGAGGAGGATAAAGCGGCACAAAAATTCTCAATCATATATAAGTTGGATCCATTCATGATAAAAACTCTCAATAAAATGGGTATAGAGGGCAAGTACCTCAATGTAATAAAGGCCATATATGACAAACCCACAGCCAACATTATACGTAACAGCGAGAAGCTGAAAGCTTTTCCTTTAAGATCTGGAACAAGACAAGGATGCCCACTCTCCCCACTTTTATTCAACATAGTACTGGAGGTCCTAGCCACAGTAATCAGACAACAGAAAGGAATAAAAGGCATCCAGATTGACAAGGAAGATTGTCCCTGTTTGCAGATGACATGATATTGTACATAAAAAACCCTAAAGAATCCACTCCAAAACTACTAGATCTAATATCTGAATTCAGCAAAGTTGCAGGATACAAAATTAATACACAGAAATCTGTGGCATTCCTATACACTAACAATACTAACAATGAACTAGCAGAAACAGAAATCAGGAAAACAATTCCATTCACAATTGCACCAAAAACAATAAAATACCTAGGAATAAACATAACTAAATAAGTGAAAGACCTATACTCTGAAAACTACAAGACACACATGAGAGAAATTAAAGAAGATACCAATAAATGGAAATACATCCTACGCTCATGGATAGGAAGAATTAATATTGTCAAAAAGGCCATCCTGCCTAAAGCAATCTATAGATTCAATGCAATTCCTATCAAAATACCAACAGCATTCTTCAGTGAACTAGAGAAAATCATCCTAAAATTCATATGGAACCACAAAAGACCTTGAATAGCCAAAGCAATCCTGAGAAGGAAGAATAAAGCAGGGGAAATTATGCTCCCCAACTTCAAGCTCTACTATAAAAGCCACAGTAATCAAGACAATTTGGTACTGGCACAAGAACAGACCCGTAGACCAATGGAACAGACTAGAGAACCCAGATATAAACCCAAGCATATATGGTCAATTAATATATGATAAAGGAGCCATGGATACACAATGGGGAAATGACAGCCTCTTCAACAGTTGGTGTTGGCAAAACTGGACAGCTACATGCAAAAGAATGAAACTGGATTATTGTTTAACCCCATACACAAAAGCAAAGTTGAAATGGATCAAAGACTTGAATATAAGTCATGAAACCATAAAACTCTGAGAAGACAACATAGGCAAAATTATCTTGAATATAAGCATGAGCAACTACTTCCTGAACCCATCTCCTCGAGAAAGGGAAACAAAAGCAAAAATGAACTCATGGGACTACATCATACTAAAAAGTTTTTGTACAGTAAAGGACATCATCAACAAAACAAAAAGACATCCTATAGTATGGGAGAATATATTTGTAAATGACATATCTGACAAGGGGTTAACATCCAAAATATATAAAGAACTTACATACCTCAACACCCAAAAAACAAATAATTCCATTAACAATTGCACCAAAAACAATAAAATACCTAGGAATAAACATAACCAAATGGGCAGATGACATGAAGAGACAGTTCTCCAAAGAAGAATTTCAAATGGCCAACAGGCACATGAGAAGGTGCTCCACATCACTATCATCAGGGAAATGCAAATTAAAACCACAATGTGATATCACCTCACACCAGTAAGGATGGCCATCATCTAAAAGACTAAGAATAACAAATGCTGCCAAGAATGTGGAGAAAGTGGAACCCTCCTCCACTGCTGGTGTGAATGTAAGCTAGTTCAACCATTGTGGAAAGCAACATGGACGTTCCTCAAAAAATTAAAAATAGAAATACCATTTGACCCCAGAATCCCACTCCTTGGAATATACCCAAAGAATACAACTTCTCAGATTCAAAAAGACATATGCCCCTATGTTTATTGCAGCACTTTTAACAATAGCCAACATATGGAAGCAACCTAAGTGTCCATCTGTAGATGAATGGATAAAGAATATGTGGTACATATATGCAATGGAATACTACTATTCAGCCATAAGAAAGAAAGAAATCCTACCATTTGCAACAACATGGATGGAGCTGGAGGACATTATGCTCAGTGAAATAAGCTAGGCAGAGAAAGACAAATGCCAAATTATTTCCCTCATTGTGGAGTATAACAATGAAGCAAAACTGAAGGAACAAAATGGCAGCAGACTCAGACTCCAAGAATGAACTAGTGATTACCAAAGGGGAGGGGTGCGGGAGGGTGGGTGGGGAGGGAGGTAGAAGGGGACTGAGGGGTATTATGTTTAGTACACATGGTGTGGGGGATCACAGGGAGAACAGTGTATCACAGAGAAGGGACATAGTGGATCTCTAGCAACTTGCTGCACTGATGGACAGTGACTGGATTGGGGTATGGGTGGGGACTTGATAATATGGGTAAATGTAGTAACCACATTGTTTTTTTCATGTAAGAGTGTATATCAATCATACCTTGATAAAAAATTAAAAAATTAAAAAATAAATATAAAAAAATAATAATATAAGTTGGTCACAGAGATAGTAGTACAGCATGGAGAACATGATCAATGGTTCTGTAACGTTGTTCTATGTTGACAGTAACTGTACTAGAGAGGGTGAGGGTTTAACAATACAAGTAACTGTTGAACCACTGTGTTGTATATTTGAAACCAATGTAAGATTGTATATCAATGACACTTGAATAAAAAAATGTTTAAAGAGTAGATAAGAGAAAAGAGATTAAAATTAATAAACAGTGTGCTTTTGTAAAGTTTTGATGGTGCTTAAGGGGTAGACCTTGATGTTGGTGACCAAAACACACTTGAAAAATTAAAAACCAAAAAAAGTACATGAAAGCTACATGAGGAAATCATAAAAAACACATAAAATGTATAACCACACAAATCATGCAAGGTATAAATTAACAACGTGGTACCACTTTGTACCAATGAATTATGTCAAATTTTTAAACGATGAAGGTCAAAGCTGGTGAATTACTGTAAAACCTTCCACACATTGATAATAGCAATGTAATTGATAAAACCTTTTTAAAAATGTATTTGTAAATATTAAATATTGTTCAAGAGTTATGAAAAGATTGTATGCTTTGATCAACATAAGGAATTTTTAAGTCAATTACCTAAGTTAAGGAAAAAGGATTTTTCTATAAAGTTGTTCTCTGCATGTTATTTAGAGGAGGCTGGAAACAACCTAAATGTCCAATAATAAAAAAACATTTTTCAAGAATCTAGTAAAAAAATTTTTAATTATATGTATGATAAAAATGCATAATTGTAAGTTTGAGGGAAGGAAATTTTTAAAGTGCTGGATTTTAGGATGATAGAATTGCAGGACTATTTCCATTGTTATAAATTTTATGCAATGAGAATATTTTACAGTTATCATTAGTACATTACATATTACACTGTTACTATAAATAAAAACTGTTATTTTAAAACATGGAGTGTATTTATCTTCTCTAGACTTCAGGGGTTTTTATTTGTTTGTTTACTATAAAATGTATCTACTATTGGTACCTATTTCTATGTTGCTAGAGGATTAAATTTGTAGTTCTTGTAATGGGCTAGGAAAAGTTCCTCGCAAATAATAGGCACTGTACAGTATTTGTTAAATAAATATAAAAAATAAATTAACAAATAACCAGCAGGGTTGTGGGGGCAGAGGTGGAGGGCAGGTTTAGCTCTTCAGGGAACCCAGTTATTAAAATTGGCTCATTGCTGATTTTTGATTCCTAACATGTTTGGGCAGATTTACTACAAAGTCCACTTGAGAATCAAGGAAATAAGGTCAATGGAACCTTTGAACAGAAGCCAGGAACAGTAACTAAGGAACAAGACAAGCTACATTTTTTCCTTGGTTGCTTAGCAAACTCTGGCCATTGACACAGACTAGGGGCCAGGAATAACAGGTTTACAGGCTCATAGGTAACCAGGACTTCTTACAAACCACCTACAATGAATGATAAGCTCTGGGGTTCATATACAAACAGGACTTTATAGTAAAACAGTTTCAATTATTCTCAAAATGAGATGAGGACCCCTCAAAAGGGGTTTGGGAGAAGCGGTAGTTACAGTTGTTGACCCTGCAATAGGGATTGTGGCCTTTCATGGAGCTCCAAGCCATTAGGACTCAGAGCATTTGCTTAACACAAAGCAAAACTGAATTTCACAACAGAAAAACAGAAATAGAATGAAGCTTTAAGATATAAAATATAGCAAAGAACTGACCTGTTATCTCCTATCAATAGGAGATTGATGGTTCATAGGAGATTGCCGGATTGATAACTAGTAAATCAACAGTGTGGAACCAACTTTTTTGGATCTCTATTAAGTGCTATACCAGGCATTGCACTTAAGTTATCTCTTTTGATCCTCACCAAAGTCCATGAACTGAGACTTATCTTCCCTTACAGATGTGGAAACTGAGGCTAAGAGAAGTAACTGAACTCCCTTTAAGTGGTTTGATTAGATCTGAATCCAGGTTGGTCTGAGTCCAAAGCCCTTTCCATACCACTCCACCTCGTCAGAAGTAGAGACAGGGAGAAAAAAAGCACAGTCATAATGCAGTCTCAAACTCTAAACTGCAAGTCAGGAAACTTGTTCTCTAATCTGAATTTCCCCCTAAATTTTCAGGGAAATTGAGCAAATGATGTCATCTTTCAACTCTCAGTTAATTTATCTGAAAAATTATCAGAGATTGGATTGGAACACAGTTCCCCAACCTGCTTATCCTACCACATTGTTCTCTTACTTGCTCAGAACAGAACGGTTCTGGAGCCTGGGGCAGCAGGAGACCCAAGCTGATTGCCTTGTCTGTGAGCAGACTTTCAGGATTCCTAATGTTTTATTTACCCCACTGTAATAAACATTTTAATTTTCTATATGAGTCACAATGTGAAAACCACTAGAAAGCATTGGACTAGATCAGGGATTTAGGTCAAAGTTGTCCACCCTCCTGTGAGCAAGAGATTCAGGACTGTCCGAAATATCTTATCTCCCTGCCAACCGTGATTGTTCCAGGAATGGAAGTAAAACCCACTGAGCCAAAAGAAAAGACAGCCTCTTTCCAGGTCAGTTCCTCCACCAGAAGGATATACATCTGCAGTTACATTATGTCACATGTGGTTAAAGCCTGAAAATAAAGTCAAAAACAAATGAGCAAAATGTAAGATTATGAAATCACCTGGAAGAAGCTGTTTCTGAAATCACTGTATTCTCAGACTTCCCAATTCACATGAATTTACACACTTTTTTTTTTCTTTTTGTGCTTGAGTTTGTCAGTTGCAACTGCAAGTCATCCAATTCTCATAGGAAGTGTTCTTAACTCCAATCCTAAACCATATACACAGATTCTGATTCTCAGGCATTTGTTTTACAAAAACTCCTGGTGGTTCATACATACACCCTGATATGGACCTATTAGGGACTGCATTCTGTCCCCCAAAATTCATATGTTGAAGCCATAACCATATTATCTGGAGACAGGGTCTTTAGGAGATAATTAAGGTTAAAAGAGGTCATAAGAACAGAGCCCTACATAGGCCTAGACCCTAATCTGATAAGACTGGCTTTCTAAGGAGAGGAAGAGAGAGTTCTCTTTCTCTCCAGCATGTGAAGACACAGAGAGAAGGCAGCTATCCACAAGCCAGGAACAAAGCTCTCACCAGAATATGACCATGGTGCACCCTGATCTAGACTCCCAGCCTTCAAAGCTGTGAGAAAACGATTTCTGAAAATAAAGCCACCGGTCTGTGCTATTGTGTTACGGCAGCTCAAGACTACAACAGACCTCCAGCCAAGAGCCACCAAATGATGCGCCTTCCAGCTCTCAGATTCTGTAATATTCTGATATTATAAGAACCACGAAAGTTCACACTGAAAGAATGAAGAAGCAGTCCAATTTTTTTCTCAAACACTCTGCAAGTTAAGATAAACAACTATAAAAAAGAGATTTAAAAGACCAATGATAAATCAGAATCATTACAATTTCACTTTCCAAAGTCTTCCATGAACCAGTGTTCCTGTGCAAGCCAAAGGGGAAGCTACAAAGAAATTGCGATGCGTATTTGCCTTTTATTAGAAGCTGCCTTAAGTCTTTTAAGAAAAGCAGGATATTGAACAAACAAAATCCAGTAACAACCTGTTCTTTGAATGTATCTGACTTATTTCTAGAGCTCCTTTGCCAAGTAGGATAAAAAGTTACCTGGCCTTTGTTACCATAAAAGTCCTTTTAGAAAAAAGAATGAGGAAAATGGTGTTCTGACTGCAAACTGGATGTATTCATGTTTCACTGATCCAATAAAACACACCACATGGCAATGATACTCATTGTTCCTATTTTTTAATGCTACATACCTGGTCGACGAAGAGATTACAAAACTCTTGCAATAAAACTATAACCCGAGCAGGGGTATTATAAAACTTGGAATGACTCCAGATCAGACAGACGGTATGAAATAATGGGGCAATTAATACACGGGTCTGTGGGAATTCCATCTCCTGGAGACACTGAATGTGTCTCCTCAAGGGTCTCAGGTAAAGTTCCACATCTCGGGCTTCGAGGAGAGCTGAAAGGAAAGAAACCCACCGTCAATGTGATGTAGTCTCTTTTCTGAACTCATTTTACAAGTTCAAGAGACTAGGACAAAACAACACAGCTGCACCTAAATGCTGTCATCTTTCTATTTATATCACTTATCCTACAAAATTGACATGTGACAGGTTTGAACAGCTTTACACTCTGTCCATCTCTAACAACCATTTAGGAAAGCCCTAGTGTAGTTAGGCAGCACAAGTCAAACATGAAATGCCTTTAGAACCTAAAGACATTTACTCAATCCATGGAAACTGTGCAAGACATCACTCTGACGTTATCATTTTATGGTTTGGATATAAGCTTCATCACTAGAATGTTAAAGCTTCCTAGGTACTTGGTACTAGGCAATTTAATTGCTTAGTATCTTATTCTGGTGTCCTATGAGAGTGACTCACACACGGACTGGGAAATTTCCGTTGTATTACTGAAAATACAACTATCAACGTTGTAAGACATAGATGATGAAAATATTTTGGAAGTGGACAGAGGTGATGGTTGTACAACATTGAATGTATTAAATGCCCCTTAACTGTACACTTTAAAGTGGTTATTTTTATATGAATTTTACCTCAATTTAAAAATTGTTAAGCATAAGGAATACCTTTAAATGCTAAATGTATGAAGAAAAAGTTTAAATAGTTGGCTATTATTAATTACTCATTTAACTAATCCAGATTTTCTCTTAAAATTGGTCCTTTTTAATGTACCCTAAACAGATCTCCTTCAAACTCCCTTTTGGTTCTGAAACTACAAATACCTTTGACTAACTGAAAACATGCACTGTTTATGAAGGCAGGAATCAAGTAAATTTTTATTTTCTGGTGTTATTCTAAAAAACTCCTGTTAGAAAGGAAAAGAAAAACTGCCTTTTTCTTTTTTTCCATTGGAAACCTTATATTCCTCTACTTGACATGTAACCAATTAATCTGTCCACCTAACAATAAATATTTGGGAAGAAAGAAAAGGTCTAGGCACTATTTCCTCTCCCAGATTATTCATGTTTTGAAATTGGTGTATTTTTATGAATGTTGATTTCAAATTAAATAATTACATTAATAGGTAAGTGCTCTTAAAATATGATAAGCACACCTGGTACTTTCACAGGTCTCACATATGTCTTTGAGAAGAGCCTCCACCTCTAACAGTGACAATGGCTTTGGACTACTTGTTATACTGAAACTGATTTTTTTTTCCCCCTGAATTTCCACGCCATGTGTTCAGAAGGCTCTGAGGACCCCTGGGTCCTATAGAAGCTTTATCCAAACAAAATGTTCGTTTTATACTAACACAGAAAAAATGCAAGCAGCTTCTATTTATTGAGGGCATACTTACTATGTACCTAGTACTGTGCACATTATATATATCTTCCTTCCAGTGGCTCCCAGCCAGAGGAGGTCTTGCCCCCAGGGGTCATTTGGCAAGGTCCTGAGGCATTTTGATTGTCACAGCTGGGATGGGGAGAGGGGGTAGAGCCCACGGATGTTGCTCAATGTCCTAGAATGCAAAGGAAGGCTCCCTACAACAATTATCCTGCCCAAAATGTCAAGTGGTGACAAGACTGAGAATGACTGCTCTAATCCTTGAAATAATTCTGCAAGGAGAGTGTTAATGTGCCAAGTTGGCCAATGAAAACCAACAAATTTAAGATATACTCAGTGGATCTGGGACAGGAATACAGAGCTGACAGACTCCCAAGACCAAATAGTCCCCCTTATTCTATGGTCTCTTTTCAAACAGAATTCATGGAGAAAACCCTGAAGAGATAGCACAACATTTTTTCAAAGTATATTTTAAATATTTCCTAACTTTTCAAATGTTACATAGAAAAAATTAAACATTGCTAATATAATAAACAAAAAAGCTATTGTTCATATTATCTTACAATTGTATCATTTAGAGCTTTAGCATTGTGTATATCATATTTGCTTAAACATGCCTAAAGGCACAGGAACAGAAATCAAGAAGGGTTATTACTCCTGAGTGGGGTTAAAATTGGATTAACTAATGAGAAGACAAGGAGACTCTTCACTGCACAGCTTTTCATAATTTCTGATTTTTACAACATGTATGCATAGCCTGTTCAAAATTCAACAAATGAACAAACCCTCCTCCTATGTCTAATCTTCACCAAAACGTTGATGATGACTTTGAGTTCTTATGACCTAGATAAGTATTGGATGTCAAGCACACTCAGAGAATCTACTGGTGAATAAATGGATTAGTTATAGCCCAACTGTTGATTTGAAAACCTCTATGCTGGGCTATCATTTACCTCCTGCTAATACCAAAGGTCCTTCCCCTCCACATACACATTCTCATTAAAATTTCAATCTGGAACCCCTTTAGTAGTCACCTATTATGTACCCTTAAAGCATAATATAACTGGAGAAGAAAGTACAGATGATTCTAATGAATTAGTCACTAGAAGAGCCCAGTGCAAGCATTTCATGAACATGCCGGTGGTAGAAGGGGAGACGAGGCTGAGCAGACCGGCAGGGTCAGGTCATGAGGGACACTGATGCCAGGACAAAGAACAAGAGTCATACCATTTTTCACAGCCAGGAAAATATCCTTCAAAGTTGGAAAATAGCTGCTCTGTTTAGTTTTCAGGATCTTAACCATTTTGAGGACAACAGGAGCTTGAAGCTAAATTGAAAAAAAAAAACTAATAAATGTAAGCTAGATTACTAAGTGCATTCTGCAATACAAAAATTATATTCCACTCATGCAGTATTTAACAAAGACATGTCTGGTTCCAAGTTGAAAATCATTTTAAAAATAACATTTTTTCCTTAAGTGTGTATTTTATTTCACATTTATAGTTCTTAACTTGAATTTCCAAAAAATATGTCAATTTACTATATATATAAAATACTACATTTTCCATATAAAATTTCTTGCTCCAATTCAGAAAAATCTCTGAAAGAGGTGAATGTATGAATGTCTTACTTTTAAGAACATTAAATTGAGTAACCTGTAAGGCAAACACCAGCAGAGTAAGTGCCAAAGCTCACTCTTTCAAAGCTGCATCTCTACTACATCTCAGCAATACCTTACTCCTTCTCAAATAATTAAATCAGTGAGATTAATTAAATCTTGAACATTTCCTGGGGGAATCACTCTCTTTTTATGATGCAAAGTGTTTCCAATTATATCAAATGCTGTCAAAATATTCTCAAGAAGGCAAAATTACTTTTAATCCCCATTAATTTTTAAAGTGCATACCATACAGAATTTAGGAACAAGAAAAAGAATAGATTATTAAGTTATTCAAATACAATATGTTAAATCGTTAGAGTTATTGGAAATCACTGCTCTAAACACTAAATTCTACAATTTGCTAATTCAATTTACAAACAATTTCTAGGGCTATATACTTACTTGATCATTAATGCATGATAGGTCCTCTCTCCTCATCGTCCAGAAATCCAGTTCAGTTTGAGGATTTGAGTGAAGACCATTTAACAAAGGCTGCACTGAATTGTTTTCTATAATTTCTTGGATTTGCTGTGACCATTTAATAATTACTGATTCAATTGAATGGAGTATTGTCCTTTCATTTAGCGGTGGCCTAGAACATTAAAATGATTACTAAAATGATTTTTAAATAAATTATTTCATCCAAATAAAGACAGGACTTGGATTTTTTTGTATGTTTGTATTTTTCTTTAATTATTATTTTATTAAGGTATCATTGATATTCACTCTTATGAAGGTTTTACATGAGCAACATTGTGGTTACTACATTCACCCATATTATCAAGTCCCCCCACACACCTCATTGCAGTCACTGTCCATCAGCATAGTAAGATGCTATAGAGTCATTACTTGACTTCTCTGTGCTATACTGCCTTCCCCATGACTCCCCCTACATTATGTGTGCTCAACATAATGCCCCTCAATCCCCTTTTCCCTTCCTCCCCACCCACCCTACCCACCTGATTCTCTTTGGTAACCGCTAGTCCCTTCTTGGAGTCTGTGAGTCTGCTGCTGTTTTGTTCCTTCAGTTTTACTTTGTTGTTATACTCCACAAATGAGTGAAATCATTTGGTACTTGTTTTTCTCTGCTTGGCTTATTTCACTGAGCATAATACCCTCTATATGCATCCACATTGTTGCAAATGGTAAGATTTGTATTCTTCCTATGGCTCAATAATGTATATGTACCACTTTTTCTTTATCCATTCATCTACTGATAGACACTTAGGCTGCTTCCATACCTTGGATATTATAAATAGTGCTGCAATAAACATAGGGGTGTATGTGTCTTTTTGAATCTGGGATCTTGTTTTCTTTGGGTAGATTCCTAGGAGTGGAATTCCTGGGTCAAACGGTAGTTCTATTTTGAGTTTTTTGAGGAACCTCTTACTGCTTTCCACCATGGTTGAACTAATACCCATTAACAGTGGAAGAGGGTTTCCCTTTCTCGGAAATCCTCACCAGCATTTGTTCTTCCTTGTCTTTTGGATGGTGGCCATCCTAATTGGTGTGAAGTGATATCTCATTGTGGTTTTAATTTGCATTTCCCTAATAATTAGAAATGTGGAGCATTTTTTCATGTGTCTGTTGGCCATCTGAATTTCTTCTTTGGAGAATTGTCTGTTCAGATTCTCCACCCATTTTTTAAACGGGTTATTTGCTTTTTGGATGTTGAAGTGCATGAATTCCTTATATATTTTGGATGTTAACCCCTTATCAGATAGGTCATTTATGAATATATTCTCCCATACTGTAGGATGCCTTTTTGTTCTACTGATGGTGTCTTTTGCTGTACAGAAGGTTTTTAGTTTGATGTAGTTCCATTTGTTCATTTTTGCTTTTGTTCCTTGCCCAAGATGTGTTCAAAAAAAAAGTTGTTGCTCATGTTTATATTTGCAACATAAACAAGAGATTTTTGCCTATGTTTTCTTCTAAGAGTTTTATGGTTTCATGACTTACATCAGGTCATTGATTCATTTCGAGTTTACGTTTGTGTATGGAGTTAGACAATGATTCATTCTCTTGCATGTAGCTGTCCAGTTTTGCCAACACCAGTTGTTGAAGAGGCTGTCATTTCCCCATTGTATATGCATGGCTCCTTTATCATATATTAATTGGCTGTATATGTGTGGATTTATATCTGGGCTCTCTATTCTGTTCCATTGATCTATGAGTCTGTTCTTGTGCCAGTACCAAATTGTCTTGATTACTGTGGTTTTGTAGTAGAGCTTGAAGTTGGGAAGCGTAATCCCCTCTGCTTTATTCTTCCTTCTCAGAATTGCATTGGCTAGTCAGGGTCTTTGTGGTTCCATATGAATTTTAAAACTTTTTGTTCCAGTTCATTGAAGAATGCTGTAGATATTTTGATAGGGATTGCATTGAATCTGTAGATTGCTTTAGGCAGGATGACCATTTTAACAATATTAATTCTTCCTATCCATGAGCACTGGATGATTTTCCATTACTGGTGACTTTTTTAACTTCTCTCATGAGTGTCTTGTAGTTTTCAGGGTATAGGTCTTTCACCTCCTTGGTTAGGTTTATTCCTAGGTATTTTATTCTTTTGATGCAATTGTAAATGGAATTGTTTTCCTGATTTCTCTTTCTGCTAGTTCATTGTTTGTATATAGAAATCCAATAGATTTCTGTGTATTAATTTTGTATTCTGCAACTTTGCTGAGTTCAGTTATTAGTTCTAGTAGTTTGGGGCTGGATTATTTAGGTTTTTTATGTACAATATCATGTCATCTGCAGTGACAGTTTAACTTCTTCCTTACCAATCTGGATGCCTTTTATTTATTTGTGTTGTCTGATTGCTGTGGCTAGGACCTCCAGACTATGTTGAATGAAAGTGGAGAGAATGGGCATCCTTGTCTTGTTTTCAATCTTAGAGGAAAAGCTTTCAGCTTTCACTGTTAAGTGTGATGTTGGCTGTGGTTTTGTCATATATGATCTTTATTATGTTGAGGTATTTGCCCTCTATACCCATTTTGTTGAGATTTTTTAATCATGAATAGTTGTTTAATTTTGTCAAGTGCTTTTCAGCTTCTATGGAGATTATCATCTAATTTTTGTCCTTCTTTTTGTTGATGTGGTGTATGATATTGATGGATTTTCAAATATTGTACCATCCTTGCATTTCTGGAATCAATCCCACTTGATCATGATTGGTGATCTTCTTGATGTATTTATGAATTTGGTTTGCTAATATTTGTTGAGTGTATTTGCATCTAAGTTCATCAGGAATATTGGTCTCTAATTTGTGTGTGTGTGTGTGGTGTCTTTGCCTGGTTTTGGTATTAGAGAGATGCTGGTCTCACAGAATGAGTTTGGAAGTATTTGTTTCTCTTCTTTTTGGAAAACTTTAAGGAGGATGGGTATTAGGGCTTCTCTAAATGTTTGATAAAATTCAGCTGTGAAGCAGCTGGAGGTTTTGTTCTTAGGTAGTTTTTTTATTACCAATTGAATTTCATTACTGGTAATTGGTCTGTTCAGATTTTCTCTTTCTTCCTGGATCAGTCTTGGACGGTTGCATTTTTCCAGAAAGTTGTTCATTTCTTCTAGATTATTCAGTTTGTTAGCATATAATTTTTCTTAGTATTCTCTAATAATTCTTTGCATTTCTGTGGTGTCATTAGTGATTTTTCCTTTCTCATTTCTGATTCTATTTATGTATGTGGATTCTTTTTTTTTCTTGATATGTCTGACTCAAGTTTCAACTATTTTGTTTATTTTCTTGAAGAACCAGCTCCCAGTTTCACTGATTCTTCCTATTGCTTTATTCTTCTAGATTTGTATTTATTTCTGCTGTGATCTTTTTTATGGTCCTCCTTCTACTGACTTTGGGTCTTATTTGTTCTAATTTAATTAATTGTGAGTTTAAACTCTTTAATGGGCCTGTTCTTCTTTCTTGAAGTAAGCCTGTATTGCAAGATACTTCCCTCTTACAACAGCATTTGCTGTGTCCCACAGATATTTGGATGTTGAGGAGTTGTTGTGATCTGTCTCCATATATTGCTTGATCTGTGTTTTTATTTGGTCACTGATCCATTGATTATTTAGGAGCATGTTGTTAGTCCTCCATGTGTTTATGGTCTTTTTTGTTTTCATTGCATAATTTATTCCTAGTTTCAGAGAAGCTGGTTGGTATAATTTCAATCCTTCTGAATTTACTGAGGCTCTTTTTCTGTCCTAGTACATGATCCATCCTGGAAAATGTTCCATGTGCACTTGAGAAGAATGTGTATTCTGCTGCTTTGGGATGGAGTGTTCTGTAGGTATCTGTTAGGTCCACCTATTCTAATGTGTTGTTCAGTGCCTCTGTGTCCTTACTTTCTGTTTGGTTGATCTGTCCTTTGGAATGAGTGGTGTGTTGAAGTCTCCTAAAATGAATGCACTGCATTCTATTTCCCCCTTTAATTCTGTTAGTATTCGCTTCACATATTTAGTTGCTCCTATAATTGGGTGCATAGATATTTATAATGGTTATATCATCTTGTTGGGCTGACCCCTTTGTCATTATGTAATGTCCTTGTCTCATGTTACTTTCTTTGTTTTGAAGTCTATTTTGTTTGATACAAGTACTGCAACTCCTTTTTTCTCCCTATTAGTTGCATGAAATATCTTTTTCCATTCCTTCATTGTTAGTATGTGTATATCTTTGGGTATGAAATGAATCTCTTGTAGGCTGCATATAGATGGGTCTTGTGATTTTATCCATTCTGTAACTCTATGTCTTCTTTTTTGTTGTTGTTGTTGTCACTAATCTACAATTACATGAAGAACATTATGTTTAGTCAGCTCCCCCCTTCACCAAGTCCCCCTCACAAACCCCATTATAGTCACTGTCCATCAGCATAGTAAGATGCTGTAGAATCACTACTTGTCTTCTCTGTGTTGTACAGCCCTCCCCAAGCCCCCCCCCCACACTATACATGCTAATCGTAATGCCCCCTTTCTATTTCCCCACCCTTATCCCTCCCTTCCCACCCATCCTCCCCAGTCCCTTTTCCTTTGATAACTGTTAGTCCATTCTTGGGTTCTGTGATTCTGCTGCTGTTTTGTTCCTTCACTTTTTCTTTGTCCTTATACTCCACATATGAGTGAAAACATTTGGTATTTGTCTTTCTCTGCCTGGTTTATTTCACTGAGCATAATACCCTCTAGCTTCATCCATGTTGTTGCAAATGGTAGGATTTGTTTTCTTCTTATGGCTGAATAATATTCCATTGTGTATATGTACCACATCTTGTCTTTTGATTGGTTCACTCAGTCCATTTACATTTAGGGTGATTATTGATAGATATGTACTTATTGCCATTGCAGGCTTTAGATGCATGCTTACCAAAGGTTCAGGAGCAGCTTCTTTACTAACAGTCTAACTTAACTCACTTAGTATGCTATTTCAAACACAATCAATAGGGTTTTTTTCTCCCTTCTTTTTCTTCTTCCTCCATTCTTTATATATTAGGTGTTATATTCTGTACTCTTTCTGTATTCCTTGACTGACTTTATTGGTATTTGACTTAATTTTGCATTTGTATAGTATTTAATTAGTCTATTTCTTTTACTGTTGTTTTATCTTCTCTGGTGACAGCTATTTATCCTTAGGAGTATGTCCATCTAGAGAAGACCCTGTAAAATACACTGTAGAGACTGGTTTTGAGAGGTAAATTCCCTCAACTTTTACTTATCTGGAAATTGTTTAATCCCTGCTTCAAATTTAAATGATAATCTTGCCAGGTAGAGTGTTCTTGGTTTGAGGCCCTTCTGTTTCATTGCTTTTAATATATCATGCTACTCCCTTCTGGCCTGTAAGGTTTCTGTTGAAATGTCTCATGATAGCCTGATGGGTTTTCCTTTGTATGTGATCTTTTTTCTCCCTCTGGCTGCTTGTAATACTCTGTCCTTATCCTTGACCTTTGCCATTTTAATTATTATATGTCTTGGTATTGTCTTCCTTGAGTCCCTTGTGTTGGGAGATCTGTGCACTTCCATGGCTTAAGAGACTATTTCCTTTCCCAGATTGGGGAAGTTTTTATTATTTCCTCAAAGACACTTTCTATCCCTTCTTCTCTCCCTTTTTCTTCTTATACCCCTATAATGTGAATATTGTTCCATTTGGATTGGTTACAGAGTTGTCTTAATATTCTTTCATTCCTAGAGATCCTTTTTTCTCTCTGTGCCTCAGCTTCTTTGTATTCCTGCTTCTCTAATTTCTATTTCATTTACTGTCACTTCTACCTCATGCAATCTGCTTTTAAGTTCTTCTTTTTTCAAAGTTTCTATATCTTTCTTTGAAGTCTTCCATGTGTTTTTGGGAGATCATGAATATTCTTCTGTAGCTCTGTGAGCATATGATTTTTATTTTGAAATCTTTACCAAGAAGATTGGTAATTTGTTTCATTCAGCCCTCTTTTGAGGGATTTGGGTTTGTACAAGATTCTTTTGCCATTTCTATATAATGATTCCTATGGAATAACTTTGTTTAGGCAGCGACCTCTGGTGCTCATAAGCTCTATTCTCTGGAGTTGCCCAGCATCTGGAGTGATGGCAGGGGTTGCAGGCAAGCAGTGCCTTTGCCTTTCAGGAGGAAATAGCTCTTTCCTGCTTCCTGGCTGCCATGACTGCCTCCACTGCCAGGGTCAGTGGGCCAAGTGTTCAGGGTGGAGCCATCTTCATTATGCCCCTGTAGCTGCTATAGGTGGGTACACTCTCTGGCTGGCCTGGCACGATGACTGGTGCAGCAAGTTTTCAAACCAGTGCAGGCCAAGAGGAAGGAGCAGCAGCTGGGGTGCAGTTGGGGGCAGCTCAGTGCTGCATTTCCAGCCAGGGGAATGGTGCATATGAAGCTCCTGAAAGTTCCCAACCTGCTTGGCTGAGTGTGCCAGGAGGATTTTGTCCACCTGTCCTTTCCCCTGAGTAGCAAGCTCTGTGTAATCCTTGTCTCTTTAGCAGCCCTCTAGCTGTTGGGAAGTCTTTCAAAGTGCCCACCTTCCTTTTGTCCCAGAGCAGCCATTTGTGAGTTCCTGTTCTCCACAAGCAGCTGGAATCTCAGTCTTTCCCATTATTCCACCTGTCTTTGCTTTCCAACCCATCTAATCTCCAGAGCACCATGTAAAGTGGTTTCGTGCTTCCAGAGCGGATCTTCAGGGTGGATGGTTAGCATTCCTGTGCTTCTACTCCCTCTTTGCTCCATTTCTCTTCCTCCCATCAGTGAGCTGGTTGGAGGAGGGCTTGGGTTCCACTGGATCAGGGCTTTGCTACTTTACCCTTTTCCTTGAGGTCTTCTCCTTCCCGAGATATAGGCCATCTGTTGCAGTCTTCTTTCTGGTCACTTTTTCAGGATCAGTTGTATTTGCTGTTGTTCTGTATAATATGTGGTTTTGGGAGAAGGTTTCTGCCTCACAACTTGGATTTTAATAGGTATTTTATGTATCCATGAACTATTTTTGTATAGATAAATTTCAAAATCAGATCCGTTATTTTTATGGCCTCAATTTGTGTTGTGACACTGTATTCTGTCATTTCATGTCTCCAACATTGAAAAACATTGTTAAAGAATTATCTTATCCTCAAAACCATTTTACTGAAAGAATATTGTTGACATCATGACATTTGTTATAACTAGCTTTGTGTACCATCTGCTTTTTAAAAGTATACTGAAAGGAAATAATATATATGTTGTTTCTGTAAACTTTAAAAATATGATGTAGTTATAATAATTCTCTATTTTGCTAACAGTTTGCTGGGGGTACAATATTAAATGGATAGCTTGGCTCTTCATTTTAATATCTTGTATTTACCATATCATCACTTACTTGGTCTCTGAATATTTTTGATCCCGGTCAATTTCTCCTGCAATAGTGGGAACTGGTAAAAGAGTTCTTCTCACCATTTTTCCCCTAAAAATATGCATTTTGTTTTTCATGACTTCTATGTGACGTTCCATGTCTTGTGAAATAAAACAGGACCAGGACTTATGGTTGTTCCTATTAGAAAGAATTGGCACTAAAATCTAGAGAAAGAGAAACATTTTAAAAGCAGTTAACATATAGACAATGTACTCTTCCAAAGATTTTCTTGCCATATAAAATCAGTAACAAAACCACTCAATTTCACAAATATCCTGTTATGATATTGAACCTACTAAGAGAGGACAAAATCAGTGGTTTAAACTTCATCAATGAGACAAATTTTTTCAAAGTGGATATACCATGCTACATGTTCATTCATTTGACTATTTACCAAAAATCCCAGTAACTCAAACAATGTATGAGATAAGCAAAATCACATCAAGTAAGTAAACTGCTTTCTTAATGAAAACTGAGCACATTAGTAAGTATATTAATGAAAAAAATCTTTTGAATCTCATGGAGGCAAGAGTAAATTAATCTTCTCAAGCCCTGAATGGCATTCCAGTAGACTAAAGTTTGATAGTCAGAAAGATGTTCATTAAATCTTTTGGACCTTTTTCAGAACTCCCTCCCTTTTTGTATTCCCAAAGCCCAGTGTTAACTAGTTAATAAAAGTTTGTTGAATTAATGAAGCTGGTCTCTTCTTGCTTTCCTACTCTTTTCCAATATCTTACCTTATAACATTTTCATTTTTCTTATATAATGTCCTGTTTACTGACATTATACTACAAAATTTCCTTTTGCTAAAATGCTCAGAAAATATTTATTCCATCTTTTTAAAGTTTATCTTGACAATGCAATCTTACAGTAAATGAAAAACAAACTAAAAATTCACTTTTGTTTTCTAATGGTATTGATCAAGTCTGTCCAAATTATATTGTTTTTACATTTTCTGCTTAACACTCACTATATGACAAGCTAGCGATAGAGTTTAGTAAGAAATAGTCTCTGCCTTTGATGAGCTCAATGGGTTAGGTGCCTCAGTGGAAGAACTGCCATAATTAGGGGCATGGTCACTATGTAATGTGGAACATAGGAGAAAAACCTGGCTCTGGAAGGGAAGACTTGCCAGAAAAACTGCTACTTAGTTGAAATCTTTAAGATGAAAGCTTTAAGTGCAGGCATTCAAGGAACCTCAACAGTGACATATAAAATCATTGAGGGGTCCAGAAGTATGGTGCTTCTGGGATACTGCCAGGCTGGTTTGTCTGGAATTAAAGCTACCACCTCTAAGATGAATGGCTTCAAGAAAGGGAAGGCAGTTAAGAAAGAGCTTTGAAAACTAGAAGAGTTAAGGCTTACTGGGTTGAACATGCATTTACTCACTGGAAAACTGCTTTTTAGATTACATCCTTGTTACCAACAATTTTTTCTAAAAGTCAGGCACCAGAAAAATTTTGCTTTCTAATTTTCTGAGTACTATTTCAAGTTTTCACTCTACTTACAAGTCTCTGATTAGGCGAACTTCTTTCAAAATTAAATATTTGTGTCAGAAACTGAAGATAAAACTGTTATGAAATTCTGAGGCACATGCTTTGCAGAGCAATTAGGAAAGCTGCTACAATATCTCTATAAACATCAGACCAGAAATAAACCCATGCTTATGTGGTCAATTCATCTTCAACAAAGGAGGTAAAAATATACAATATGGAAAAGGCAGTGTCTTCAATAAATGATGTTGGGAAAACTGGACAACTACATGCAAAAGAATGAAATCAGACCACTTTTTTACACCACTAACAGAAATAAATTCAAAATAGATTAGACAAATTAAGAACAGGAACCATAAAACTCCTAGAAGAAAACATAGGCAGTAAACTCTTGGACACTGGTATGAGTGGCATTTTTTGGATCTGTCTACTTAGGCAAGGACAACAGAAGCAAAAATAACCCCTGGGATGACATCAAACTAAAAGCTTCTGCACAGCAAAGGAAATCACCAATGAAAGGAAAAGGCAAACTACTGAATGGGAGAAAATATTTTCAAATCATGTACTTAATAAGAAGCTAATATCCAAAATATATTTATATGTAAAATTAATACAACTCAATAACAAAAAAAAGAATTCAATTAAAAAGTGGGCAGAGGATCTGAACATTTTCCAAACAATACACAAAGATGACTTACAGGCACATGAAAAGTTGTTCAACATCACTGATCATTAGGGAAATGAAAATCAAAGCCACAGTGAGGTATCTTACATCTGTCAGAATGGCCATTATTAGAAAGATAAGCAATAAGTGATGGTGCTAAACCCCCTATGGTAGCCCTGCCTACCATGTCCTCTCAGTGTTGACTTAGATGTCCACCTCCCTGACTAGACTACTTACTTTCTGAGGGCAGGTATTGCCAGGTGTGTTCAGTCACTAGCACCAATAGGTATTCAATAAATATTGATTAAATGAACAGGCAACAACCATGAGTCTGGGCTATTTCAAGAGGTTTTCTGGCTTGACCAACTGGACAGATGGAGTTCATATCCACTATTCTGAAGATAACTACAAATATAGCAGGTTGGGGGAAATTAGTTCAGCTTTGGATGTTAGGTCTGAGATATCTATTACACATTAAGTGGGAATACTGGGAAGGCAGGTAGATCTACAAGTTTGGAATTTGGGTAGAGATCTTGGCTAGAGAGAGAAGTTTAGGAATATGTCCTACATCATCGTAAACCGCTCTTAATCAGCCAACTGTGTGATCTATAAGACAAGCAAAGATAATCCTTGGAAACTTTGAACCTAAAAACCTATAGCCATGCCTCAAGTTTCATTCATCCAAAATTTAAGTTTTGCTCATAAATAAACCCAAGTGACATAAGTGTAATGTGCTTTGTTTTCCCTTCCCAATACCTATATCCTCAAGCACAATTAAATGAGAATCTTCCAAACTACTTGAACTCCTGAGGTTCTGGATGAGTTATGCCTCCTGTAGATGTACTTATTGACAGCTTACTATCTTAAACATTTGTCAGATCCTGGTACTGAGGTAAATTAAAGACCAGAAGAACTTGAAAAAGTTTGGCACCTTCTGTTTCCAGACAGAGATGGTAGAACAAGAATTTAATGAAAAGCTTGTTCTTGCCTGCCCAAGCCCCAGCTGATAGCAGTCTGGGTTCCAATGACCAAAGCCTTTCACATTTCATGTGAAATCCCTGTATCAGATTCAGTTCAATAAAAATTTCTTGACCACCCAGGTGCAAAAGATGGAACACTCTCTTCCTAATGTCTTCCTGAAAACAGCTAAAACCAAGTAATTCAAAAAGGGGAGAGGGAAATCATGGCAGGATGCTGAAGTTGGGGGTGAGATATTTTGGTATGCATAAAGTGAAGGTTCCTATGGTCAGGATCCTCACCTGAACCTAAACTACTTGATGATGTAACTGGCCTGCTGCTAGGCTACTGCTTCCACACCCGTAGGCAATAAGCTATTACTGACTGAGCCACTATATAAAGAGCTCTGCCCAGCACTCTGCCCAGAGGCAGAGATGAAGTAGGATTATAGACCCGCAGACTACTGGATGCAAATGTAATTCTAGTGCATGACTTATTGCTTGGAGAACAAGTTAAGTAATAAATCCTTTCACCCCAAGAATGTTCCATTGTCATTCATTGGTTTCACTGAATCCATAGTGAACTTATCCAGGGTTGAAACGCACTGGTAATTCAATTCGTGATGTTGGCAGGATTCATTGTTGACTGAGGAACAGAAGAGCTGCCCTTATGAGAGGGGTGCCTCAGTGGGTTACCCCTATGAATGGGGAGACAGTAGATTGTCCTCCAATGGGTATGTGGTCTGAGGTGGCTTGCCTTCTAGAGGGCTGGGCCCCACTGCAGGACTGGAGGCAGGTGGAGGTGACACCTGAGGCAGTAGGGAGGGTGGCCCTTAGTAGAGTAAGTAGGTTCTTTGAGAATCAGTGTGTCTGTAAGCCAACTGTGGGCTGGCTGCTTCTCACAGTATTAAAAAAGTCTATAGATGAGAAGAACATGCTCCAAAAAGAGACATAAGAAAGGGCAACACAAAAACATGAGCTGTGAACTGCTGTGGATTCATTGAAGAATGAAATGGCATTGATATGAGAGGAGGCACCACAAGAATGCGAGCTGCAAGGTGCTGTTGAGGAGGTAAAAAATTTGTTGGTGACTGAAATGGCATCACTACAAGATACTGTGGAAGAGGTAAAGGCCATGAAGTAAAAGGATGGACCCCTGCAAAAAGCACAAGAAGAGGCAGTGTGAAAATGTGAGCTGCGAGGTCCAGTGGAGGAAGTAAAAGATTCCTTACAGAATGAGACAGCAGCACTGCCAGGTGCTCTGAAGAAGGCAAAGGCCATGGAGGAAAAAGACATACTCCCAAGGGAAGCACAGGAAGAGGAGTCACGAGAATGGCAGCTGCGAGGCATTGAAGTGAAGGTAAGAGTTATTGAAGACTGAGCTAGCATTGCTGCAAGGTAGAAAAGGTAAAGGATGTAGCAGAGAAGGCACTTGAGGAAGTCGAGAGAAAGATGCCATCAGCCCTGGAAATGTAGGAGTTGGGGAAAGATGAAAAGGTGGTGCTGGAGGCGCCAACCTCTCCTCTGTTAAAAGCATGCCCAGTGGTTGTAAAATAAAGATACAGCAACTGAGGGTTCCTCCAGGAGAGGAGCAGCCCCCTCCCCAAGACATGCAGCACTCTATGCTCTGCATGTATACTCAGGCTGAGCTGGTGGATTTGGGCTCCTGGTTTAGGCAGAAGTCCTCGGAGTCAATATCAGCTTGGCTCCTGCATCTGTGGGATTTAGGGGTGGATGGAATTATTCTGTCTGGATCAGAGATGGGAAAGCTGGCTTCCCTGACAGTACAGCCCACCTTGAGGCAGCAATTACAAAATGCACATCAGACCCAAGGAAATCACTCCCTCCTCAATTGGCTTATGGCCGCACTTCATGTTGTGACTCCCAATCAGGGTGATTTACCACCCTGCCCTGTTAGATGGCAAACTATGCTGAGCTCCAACAGGTGTTACAGGAGCTAGGCATGAAAAATACCATTTATAGTCCAGAGAAGTATGGCCCACATGAAGAGCCTTTTACTGCAGGGATGAGAAATGTCATGTTTCAAATGG